GCACAGAGAGTGTGTCCATCAACTCAATGACAGATCTCATTAAATCCAACCAAAAAGCATACATCGCTAACGTGTCAGAAATTTGGTGGATGTTTGAGAATCATGATAAATATAATGTTACATTAACCCCAGAGTTGGCCCAATTGCGCAAAGCCAACAGAATTGAATGGGTGCCACAGGAGGGCCCCTACCCTATTGATCAAAAGGTTTTTTGACGCAAATAATAACATTAATAAATTAGTTATAATATTGTATTTATAAATTTTTGTTAGCCTTTATTCAAAGATGTGGGTAAAAGAAGTTTTGTATATATGAGCTATTATTCGGCAATCTTTGACAGAAAGTATATTAATCTGGAATACAATTTAGAGATTTCCAATGAAAAAGGTTTTCCCGCATTAATAGCCTTTCCTGTGGCCAAAAATCACACAAAATCTCGACAGTTATTACTTAAAATGTATGTATTTTATTAGCATTTACTGTACATATCTAATAGAATATTCTTTCAACGTTTATTTATTACATTACATTTTACATAAAGACTAAACATTATGGTCGAGTCGGGTATTAATGTGGAGATGGAGGAGATGTCTAAATTAGGTATTATTATGGAGGGCCACAACCTATACGATGACTATAGGAACCGTACAAACAGTTCCCATCACCAAGATGAGGCGTCAGACATTAAATTTGAACTAATCATTGTGCTATTAATATCATTGTGCACGTGTTTGGCATTTTGCCTGGCTGTTTTCCTATTAGAGCTTATTGTATTTAATTCATACAATAGTGAAAAGCGTTTGGATAAACACAAAAATTATAATTATAACCGCCGTAAGCATTATGTTCAACCGAACTTGATCAACCAAAGTTTGCACCAGTATTAGGACAAATAAACTATAATGATGTTATTAACATAACCTTAGTTCCTATAAAACACATTATTATATGATAATTATGTGAATTGTGTAACATGTGCACCAGAAATACTATTGTCACTATTAATTAGGCATAAATAACTGTGAATAATGTGTGGTTGATAAATTACTATATAAACAAGTACAGTATAAGTCAGTATACAAGTAGATGTTGGTCGTAACGATTGATTTGTATTACACTTAATTATACGCTTGTTGCGAAATTTATGGACTCTTATACTTGTAAAGATTGCATTATGCTGTTTGAGTTAAATATTTAACTATTAATTATGATAAATTGATTTTGAAATGAAATTATTCAATAATATTATAATTACAGACATACATACATGTAGAAGGAATTAAAACTATTACATGAACTACTGTATAATTTACGGACAACAATAATAACCGAGTACTTAAAATACGGGTAATTTATGTAAATCGAAATGAATTTGTAAATAATTTCTAACGAATTCATTGAGAAATAAAGTTATAGTAATACTTATTTCATTGATAAATAAGAATAATTGCAGTAAACTAATTAATAAATCAATTTAGATTACACTTTGATTATTGAAATTTTTATTTGACAATAACATAATAAATTGACCAACAATTTCATAATACAATTTTGTAAAGTACATTATCTTGTACTTGAATTTAAAATTTCCATAATCTTGCGAAATGGTTATGTAATATTTTCTTGTAATAAATGGTTAAGAAAATATAGTTATGTAATATCTTCTAAGGGTTGGTATTTTGAATATAATCAGTCTGATAAATTCGTTTTTAGTCAAATGAATAATGCAATATATCAACACTTATTTATAATTAAAATTTTTAAGTACATGAAAATTAATTTTAATATATTTTATATTAAGAAAATTAATTGAATATTGGCCATATTTCTACAGTTTCAATATTATACATTAAAATTTTATATAAAGTTATAACAACTTACCAATAGACAATTGACAAATATGATATATTATTATATAACTATACATAAATTAACGTAACACACAATACACTTAATTGCAAAAAGCTATAAAAACCTTATAATAAGAAGTGAATTAATTGCAAATATATAGAAAAATTCAAACAATTTTAAACTATTCATTGAAAAGAAATCCAAACAATAAAAGCCAATTGTGGGTCCGGACAGGCGTTCAATGAATACCAT